GGATCAAACTCCCATATCTGCCTTCCCACAAATTTGATTGTGCTGAACAAGTAAGGGTCAACATTTTCAACCCTCAGCTCCAAACTTCAGCTTCCCCATTATTAATTCTTGATGATCTCAATTAATTTGACTGAGATCACTAGAGACTACTTATAATTAATGTTGTTGTACCCTTCTTAATGAAGAACTACCAAAATGCTTTTGGTTGGGAAATTTCTCAAGGGTTCTTAAACCATTTGCAATGCTTGCATTGTTTGTGATCCTCAGTATGAGAAGCCTCCATCTATATATATATATATAGAAACTCCCCAACCCACTGGCTGATGGGATATAGGAATGATATTATTGGTGGTGGATAAGGTTATGTGGGAGTAATAATAGGTAAGAGAAGATACTTGTTCTCTTGAGATAATCAAAAGACAGAAAGTAGGGACACTATTTTAGATAATGATAATGTTCCTTACTTAATACAAAATGAAGAGAAAAGGGTGGCTTTATATGATAGCCACTACCGACCTAACACATTTAAAAAAACACAACTAATACCAAACATAGTTAATTCAACTAACTTCTACCACACTATTATTTTAACTCACAACTATTAACAGCCAACTATTACTAATTTACCAGCCGACTATTAATGAAGTCTAGATTATTTTTAACACTGGCCACGTACTTTGCCTCTGTAGTTAATTTTTTATTAGTCTACCTCTATTATGAGTGCTGCTATTTCTATCCACCTATCATATTTCCCCAACCACCTTATTTTCAAAATTTTGTAGACAAATTTATCCATTTGTAAAATGACTTCTAAGGACTGTCTAATTTTTAGACACATGTTCAATAATTAAAAATAAAAACTAATTATTTAAAAAAATAAAAAATAAAAACCCAACAGCCACCAAATCTCCCTCACCCACCCACCCAACTTGTCAGCCATCCCATCTCGCCGGCGGCGACCCCTCCCCCCGCCGCTAACAAATCCTCCTTTCCTCTCTATTTCTCTCTATCTAAAGACCTAACTTGGTGGAAACATTGGTATAGAATCCCCGACCGCCCCACCACCCAACCACACATCCGAACCCCACCTCCTCTCTCCTTCTTTTCTCTCTTCCCCTCTCTCTCTCTTCACCCTACTAGTACTATCTGTCTTATCTTCCCCACGCACCCATCCACCCTCCCCCACCTTTTTTATCCTTATTTCCCTCATCCCTCCTCTCGACAGCCACCCCTATGAATGAATTTGTAGAAACTGATTTTCCATTATATTATTCATATGATCATTATACAATATATATAAAGTCTGTAGAGAATAATCTACAGTTACAACAAGCCATTATCATAAACATAAATATGGAGTTATGACCTAATAATAACGTAACTGACAACTGACCATTTCCTATCATTAGTAGGATTAACTATTGTAACTCCCTTATACTCCCCCGCAAATCGAGCGCACACAGTATAGCAAGATTTGAATGAAGAAACTACATAGTAATGGAGATGGCGGCAGTAGTCGGTTGTAGTAGTCCAGTAAGGGGAACCAAAAAGAAGAACTCCAATCTCCAGAGTTGCAACAGCGGCATGAGAGAAACAAAGTAAACATAATGCCCATTGAAAGGCAGGAAGTGAAGGTAGGATAAAGAGCATGCGGTAAGTGAGAAAAAAAAAGTAGCCATGTAGAAAAATAAAAGTTGCGCAAAATAAATAAAAAAGTTACACCCATAGGAAGAGAGGAAGTGGAAAGAAAAGAAAAGTATCACATGGTAAGCAACACAGTAGAGGATGCAGCACAACAGTAGAGGATAAGAGGTGAAACCAACTTGGGACACAGAGAAAAGAAAACGAGAGCATGGGCAAGTTTGAATTTCAAAGAACCATAGAAACAAGAAGGTATGAGGAAGAAAACCACGGGGGAATAGAGAAGTAATAAGGAAAATCATCACACGAGCATAGAAGCCCATAGAGATTAAAATAAAGAGGGATTATTGACCCAAAAAAAAAACAATAATAAGAAATAAAAAAGGAAACCAAGTGAGACAGAGAAAGTAGTCAAGAGAGGGAGAGAGAACAAGATGCAAGAGACAATCCATGAAAAGGAAAGGAAACTCAAGATTCCAGAGACAACCCATGACAGGGAGAGAGAAAACACAATTGAAAAGAAGAGAAGAGAATACCCCAGTAACATAAAATAATTATAAAGAAAAGAAGACAATATCCGAGTAAAAGAGAAGAAGAAAGGCAGCACAAGAGAGCATTGAAGAAGACAGAGACCAACAGTAAAATCAAAGAAATAGATTGGGCTTAAGAGGGGAGGAGAACACAGGTTGAGCATAGATAGAGCGTGAGAGGCCGATACCAAGGCAACAACACAATGATAGGGCTTGAGTGGCCAATACCAAATCGGCAACACAGAGGAAGAAACAGGGGCTGTGCAAAGGGAACACTGGCAGGGTAGCAAGGTAGAGAAGGCTCGGCGAGCGTTGACGAGGCTCGCGGAGGAAAGAGAAACCAGCTCAGCGAGAGAGACGGCGTGAGGGAGACAAAGAAGTGGACAGAGATGTCAAGAGAAAGAGAGAAACCAACAATAGAAAGGTGTGGTCTTCAAGGGAAAACAGAGATATGGCCATCATGCCAAGAGACGAACATGGAGAAGGAAGTGAAAGGAAGTTTTATTTTTATTGATTTTTTTATTTATTGTTATTTTATAAAGAAGATACGGGCTTCTAATAAAAACAAATAAAAAACAAAATAAAGGAAGGAAAGCATAAAGTTGAGGAGCACGAGTGTTTGGGCAGGAGAGAGAGATGAAGCGAAGGGGAAGCATGCGTGTAGATAGATATTGGAAAAATGGGGGGCTCATGACACCAAAGAGAAAGAGAGGGAGTCTTGATATAACCAGAGAAAGAGAGAGAGTTCAAGGAGGGAGTTTTGATAGAGAAAAAAAGGAATGAGATCCTGGAGAGAGAGAGAGAGAGAGAGAGAGAGAGAGAGGAGAGAGAGAGAGAGAGCACATGAGGGATAGACAACGGTTGTGCAAAGGGACTAACAACAGTGAAGCACAGCATGACAGAGACAAAGGCCGGCTAGGATAAGGCTTGGCGAGCTATGACAACTGACAAAGGGGAGAAGGCTCAATCTTCAATAGAGAGCATAAGAAGGAGAAATGGCTCAATCTTCAACAGAGAGTTAGACACGGAGAGAGTGAAAGATAAAGGCCCATCAATGAGCAGAAGAGCTTGCCGGGAGCGTTGAAAAATAAAAGGAAATGGCAACGGCAGAGAGAAAGAAAAAAAAATTTACTGATTATAGAAGGGAGGAGAAGATGAAGAACTATACAGAAGCAAACACCCTTTCGGGCGAGGAGAGCCAACGACTCTCAATGTTAGCAAATGAAGGATCGCTAATTGGCGTTAGCCATTAGCTCTGATACCATGTAGAAACTGATTTTCCATTATATTATTCATATGATCATTATACAATATATATATATATAAAGTCTGTAGAGAATAATCTGCAGTTACAACAAGCCATTATCATAAACATAAATATGGAGTTATGACCTAATAACAACGTAACTGACAACTGACCATTTCCTATCATTAGTAGGATTAACTATTGTAACTCCCTAATAGAATTGATTCTTTATTTTTCTTTCGTTTGTTATTTGGTATGATTAGGTTGAATAGCTCAAAAGGTTATTGGGTTTTGGATTGGCAGGGGGTTGAAGGCTAGCATGCTTTCAATGAAAGCAAGGGGATGCTGTAGGGACTTGGGACTAAAGGGTGTCTTTTGGGATTTATTTAGGATTGTGATTGAAGAAGAATAAGAAGAGGTTGCTGGCAGGGGTGGAGCTAGAATTGTAAAAGTGGGGGGGGCCGAAGTAGAAAATACAAGTACATAAAACACCTACATTCAATACTTACATGTTTAGAGCTAAATATTTCTAATTGAGTCATGTCTAATTTGTTTTAGAGGAAATTTTAACTTAAATTCTACATTGTTTATTACAAATTCTATATATCATATATAATATAATAGAGGAGTGATAAAATATGGGGGGCCCAGGGCCACTCCAGGTCTAGGAGTGGCTCCGCCACTGGTTGCTGGGTTTGTTTGGGTTTTGGTTGAATTAATAATGAAAGGGTATTTTAGGAATAAAGATGGGTGGAAAAATAGGACTATTTTTTTACAAATTTACATGGTAGGTGGGAAAATAGAATAAGGGGGTGGAAATAGCAGCACTCCTCTATTATTAGTAAGGTTATGTTAAACAAACTCAACTCTGCCCAACTTCCTCAAGATCTATCTACCTAATTCTAGCTAAAAAGAAAGATTAGATTAGGGCTTCTTATATATAAGTTGATTTTCATCAAGATGTAATGAATGCAGTTCACATGCTCTCCTTTTTCAATTGCAGTCCATTGTTACCAAGTAAGCAATTAGGGCCAGTTTGACATTGTTGTGCTGTGAAAATAATCGATGTTAGATATCAACTATGAGAGAAAGCCATGATGAGCTCGAAGAAGCAAAAAGTAAACAAAAAGGAGAAAAACTTAGCTCAGAGTCACATGCAAAACAGGATCTCGGATGCTGTGTTACAGCTCTAATACTAATACAATGGTAGAAACCATTGTGCCACATCAAATCACTGTAATTCACAATCAATCAATTACAAATAGAGAACAAATATCAAGAATAGTAAAGAAGAAAAGCAGGAGAGAGCAGAAGGGTTAGAATGGGTAGGGAAAAGCCTTATTTTTATATTTATTTTGAATAAAATTTATCATCAACTCTGACAAAGTATATTTAAAATACATGCTTAAAAGTAAAGCTCATATCCAAAACCAAATATAAAGAGAATATTCACCCCCCATGTATTTTGATAGGCTGCATAAATAACTCATTAACTTTTAAACTGTTTTCTTCCTTTACTTAATGGCGTTAAGCAGACAACACTCTTTGTATATACGTACATACACGTAGATTAATCTACAAGACTACACATAGAGAGGCGTTGGAACCATATTGCAGTATTCTGCAAGAGCCCAAATTGGGATAGTATTCCTGAATGCTGAGTAGTGTTGCATGGCATTCCTCATGAAAACTCCGATCACTTCCTGTCATGAGAAAAAGAAAATAAACAAAAGATGAGCAACTTGTAACTAGTAGTAATTAAACAATATCCGTTTTACTTTTTCCTTGGTGCAGGAGAAAATACTTCCCTATCACCACCGGGTGTATATGATAAGAGAAATAGATGCATGGTTGTATACAACCGAGTAACACTTAAGATTTTCTCATGCTGCAGAATAAATGGTGTTTAAGAATGGCACCTGCTGGGGGAAATCGCCATTTTCCAATTGAGAATTGATCAACGTCTTTGCAGCTTGGTGAATAGGAGTAGGATCTCTCTCCGCCTATTGCATAAATAAAAAATATAAACATGAAAACTTAGAAATTGCTGGGAGAGAAATATGCAAAAGTAAAAGAACTAATGAGGAAGTGGCTGGCACATAGCTAGGTGTAAATATTCATGTACTAACCTGTCCTCCATGAATTAAACCTGAAAATACCTATAGGATGACTAAAAATGCCTAGAGGGGGGTGAATAGGCCAATTTAATATTATAATCAATAAACAAAAATTAAACTTCAGTAGCATGATTAATATGGCTTATCAATCTTGAAATGTGCTGGGCATAAAATAAAAGAACACGCTGAGAATTATTTTAAGTGGTAAAACCCCACATCTGGGGAAAATCCACGAGACTCCTCAGTCCAACACAAATCCATTATAGAACAATGATTACAAGAAGTACTCACACACTTATCCTACACACATTCTAGATAATGTTTACCAACTTCTTCGTAACTCAACTTCTATCATGGGATGATCTTCGACACTCCTTATGTTGAACGCAATACTGGTCACAATTGCTTTAAGCTCACCGGAGGAAAAATGCCACCACGGTCTTGGTGTCCTCAACCGTATGAGTCACCGACATGCATATGAATGCAATATGAATGATGAAAGTGTATGATAAATCACCAAGTAAACAAGGAACACTTGATGACTTATCTCAAAAATATGCACAGGAGCTTTCTCTTAAAAATTCAATCTGTGCAAAACCAAATATGTCGAAAGCTTACTATGTGAAAATAAAGACACACGTTTTATTCAAAGCATGTTCTCTCTAGTAAGAGAGAAACCTAGTAGGCCAACAATTCTATTCAAATGTGATTCTCAAACTTGATCCCATATGGACTCAAGTCAATCACGTCAAACCAAAAGACACACTACTATGCCATTATGAATAATCACTTTGATTCACTATCAACTTCCTGGAAGGACGCCAAACATGAGACTACAAAAGTATCAATCATGAATATCAACTTTGATCTAGTATGGACTCTAAATGACGATGCCAAACAACCAATCTTTGTGGGAGAAACAATATCTCCTAAAACAAAATAATTAGACCAATCAAGTAGGAGATGAGCAACGTGCAAGTCATAATGGGAAAAGATAAAACTTAAATTAAAATAGAGTCCAACTAGGAAAGTAAACTCAAGAGATAAAATCTAATCCTATTAAAGATAAGATTAAGATAAAAATACTTTCAGTGAAAATAACTCTAATTAGGAATCCTATAATGAATGCATGATTATGTCATGATTTACCATAAATCAGTTTCATATCGGTCAAGTGATGCCTCGGAAGTATGAGGTTGACCAAGTTGTGTCAAAACGTCCAGTAACAATTCTTCACACACTAATTTTCAACCTATGCTTGAGTCTAGGAAATGACAATACAAATTTCATACTAACAAAACCCATTGATCCCCTTGCAGTCTACACCAAATTGGATCGGTCTCCTTCAAGAGGTGTATAGATTCGTGTAACCAATTCCAGAGATTAATTTTAGTTTACTCTGAAGAGAGAATAAATTTACTAATGAATCTCAGAACAACCAGGTGCACGGTATAAATTGAGCTGCACATGTGCTAGTGTGCTATGAGTATTTTGAGAATAGACCAACAAAGCCTCAACATATTTCATGTAAAGGGGGAAAAGAAAAGAAAAACAAAGAGAAAGTGAACCTTGTTTGTACAAGAAATGTAGCTCTCTCCCCATCCACCATCATCTCTCTGTGTTTTGAGTAAAAATTCAACACCTCTGCGTATAGCCTCACAATTATTGTAAGTCTTGCCAGCAGCCTCTAACCCTCTGATTGCAAACCATGTTCCATAAATGAAGCAGATTCCCCAGTTTCCATACCTGTGATAATTATTGCCTCTTTAGTTTATTTCTCTAACACAAGTAAGAACATGAGTATGCTGAACATAATTTGATCTGAGGCAAGCAAACCAAATTGCCTCTTTAATTTTCAACCTATGCTTGAGTCTAGGAAATGACAATACAAATTTCATACTAACAAAACCCATTGATCCCCTTGCAGTCTACACCAAATTGGATCGGTCTCCTTCAAGAGGTGTATAGATTCGTGTAACCAATTCCAGAGATTAATTTTAGTTTACTCTGAAGAGAGAATAAATTTACTAATGAATCTCAGAACAACCAGGTGCACGGTATAAATTGAGCTGCATGTGCTAGTGTGCTATGAGTATTTTGAGAATAGACCAACAAAGCCTCAACATATTTCATGTAAAGGGGGAAAGAAAAGAAAAACAAAGAGAAAGTGAACCTTGTTTGTACAAGAAATGTAGCTCTCTCCCCATCCACCATCATCTCTCTGTGTTTTGAGTAAAAATTCAACACCTCTGCGTATAGCCTCACAATTATTGTAAGTCTTGCCAGCAGCCTCTAACCCTCTGATTGCAAACCATGTTCCATAAATGAAGCAGATTCCCCAGTTTCCATACCTGTGATAATTATTGCCTCTTTAGTTTATTTCTCTAACACAAGTAAGAACATGAGTATGCTGAACATAATTTGATCTGAGGCAAGCAAACCAAATTGCCTCTTTAATTTTCAACCTATGCTTGAGTCTAGGAAATGACAATACAAATTTCATACTAACAAAACCCATTGATCCCCTTGCAGTCTACACCAAATTGGATCGGTCTCCTTCAAGAGGTGTATAGATTCGTGTAACCAATTCCAGAGATTAATTTTAGTTTACTCTGAAGAGAGAATAAATTTACTAATGAATCTCAGAACAACCAGGTGCACGGTATAAATTGAGCTGCATGTGCTAGTGTGCTATGAGTATTTTGAGAATAGACCAACAAAGCCTCAACATATTTCATGTAAAGGGGGAAAGAAAAGAAAAACAAAGAGAAAGTGAACCTTGTTTGTACAAGAAATGTAGCTCTCTCCCCATCCACCATCATCTCTCTGTGTTTTGAGTAAAAATTCAACACCTCTGCGTATAGCCTCACAATTATTGTAAGTCTTGCCAGCAGCCTCTAACCCTCTGATTGCAAACCATGTTCCATAAATGAAGCAGATTCCCCAGTTTCCATACCTGTGATAATTATTGCCTCTTTAGTTTATTTCTCTAACACAAGTAAGAACATGAGTATGCTGAACATAATCTGATCTAAGGCAAGCAAACCATGATCCATCAGGATTTTGTAGTCTTCAATGAACCCTGCAGCAGTTGTGATGAAATTCTGTCTGTTTCTTTCTGTGGGCAGGGTATAACTTCCTAAACAAAGCTAATGCCTGGATTCAAGATGAGGTGCACTTGACGTGCCTGCATGACTCTTATGTTAGTCTTCAAGGAATGTAGTCTAGAACTTAAGGAATTACAGAATGGAAAATGTTGGATAAAAAGTTTTACTCATATTCGATCGTGAGATTCTCGAGAAATTCTACAGGGTTGAGCCACTGAAGGAGAAAATGATACACATTGAAACAATGGAGATATTAAAATTTTTTGATCACTTAAAGGGATTTTTCTTACTTACCTCCACCCATTTTGGAGCTCCTGTTGGGTCCCAGGCTGATACACCACCATTTGGACTCTGGTTCAAATCATAGAATGGAGCTCATTAATACCATTATAAAAAAACAAAGGGACAGTAAAGAGAATAAAAATAACTATCTTCAGTAGTTATAAATTTCCCCATTTAGAAATATACTACTTTTTATTCAATCTAATCCTCACCTGCAGAGAAAGTATGACATTGACAGCATCATATAAACGCTCAGGTTCTAGTTGTTCACCGACGAGTTGTGGTGGCAGCATCGACAACAACAAGCAACACTGTGCGACATAACATGTGTTGGTCTGTCGCGAATCTCGTGGCCTAGTGCTCCGGGCCGAGGGGATGTGCGTCAACAAGTGACGTCCTTCTTTTGGATGAGGTGCGGTTGTGCGCGGGCGTGCCAGCACGGTCTACCGTGCGTTGAGATGATGATGAGGTTCGGATAGAAGATGGTTTAAATGTTGCGCCTATTTTGCGTTCGACTATTAATCAAACAATCGTGGCCGAGTGAGGAACGAATCTCGGCCGTCAGGTTCACGGCCTGAGCTACAAGGCCATTTAGTGGTGGTGTTGGTGGTGGGTTTTAGGCGGTGCTCCGGTGCGTTGCTCAGAGAGCGACGGTCGTATGATATATGGGGTGAGTGAGGCGATAACAGAGATGGTGCTTCGGCGCCTTGAAAATCAAGGTCGTATGATATATTGATGAATGGATTTTCCTTACAGTCTACTACTACTCCTAGGAAAGCAAATAAAGGTATTGAAAGTGCATTACAGGAAAATATAATTTGCTCCGTGGGAGGCTTTTGGTTTTGGTGTTTGAACCCTTTGAATGTGGTCATGAGCTTAATATTTATATGAGTCCTGAAAGGGACATTCGAGGCTAACAAGACCTGCGTGGTGGAGCCTGACCGGGGCAAGTGGGTAGTCAAATCGGCATTTGGGATCGTGAAGCATGGTGGTTTGGGGTTGAGAAGCATGGTGGTGTGACCCCCATAAATCTCGGCCACCGCCCTGATCTTGTGTTCTACCCCCTTGGCCATGGGAACGCATTTAATGCCCTGGTCTGGTGATTGGTGATCTGACCCTAAGTCGTAAGATTATTTGTGAGAATGTCTGCGCCTAACCACCCTGATTCCCATCACCAAATCCTGACTTCAGTCACTTCCCTCGTGCATTGAATGTTTCTTGTGACTAGTGGGTTTTGCTGCGAAGTCAGAGGCATTACTTCATTAAATGGAGCGTGGGGCCCTGAGGCCACGTGGTGATTCAACCACAGCTTTTTCAGACCGTGTCTTTTACGGCCTTCGGCCTCGGCCTTCAAAACTGCGGTCGCGAGGCCGAGGGGATTCTGCCTTTGCAGATTTTCTTTTGCTCTTAGAAGGGCGAAATGCTTGACGAAACGGTAGGCGCTAGGGCCGGAGGGAAGTCCCTTCAATCAGTTCATGACCGTGATTTATTAGGCACAAACAACATGTGCTTGAGAAACATATACAATTGTAATGGCTCTAGCTCAACCCTCAGCTTGATAACAATAATCACCTTCAAACTTTCTGCAGTACAATCAGAAACTTGACATCCATGGTCTTGATTAGAGAAAGTCCATGCTCCTTTAGAAATGTGGCGAAAATGGGCTAAAAAGTCACCAGAAGGATTATCCCTAACCTAGAATATTACAATCCGATGCATATTTTAGCCAACTTAAAATGCAATGGGAGAAAGAAAAATGCTTGATGGTCAAAGTGAAAGGAAGAAGGAAAAGGGCTTTTATAGAACTTGTAAGTACAGAAACCTGAGATTTCTTAAGGTAGTCTTGTCCTTTCTTAAGTGCAAATCCAAGTTCATCATTCAGATTTGCAGCAAGCAAAGCTTGAATGGTGAAACTAGCATCCCACATCTGGCTACCAAAACTCTGCATATGAGTACAATGAATCAAAAAACAAAACTTTTGTTGCCCAAATAGCACTTCCAACCAAGAAGCTGAAATTAAAACCTGAAATATGCAAACAGCTAACCTGTATTTTAATTCCATCTTCTGCAAGCCATATGTAATCTGCAATCCTTGCAAGATGCTTCTTGTAAGATTCTCCATTTGGATCTTCATCCCAGCAAGCAAGCATATTTAATGGCTGCCAAATTCAAATAATGTTGCATTTTATCACGTTTATAGATGATTGCACACGCATGACTTGGGTTTCCCTTCTCAAAACTAAAGGGGAAGTTAGTTCCAAGTTTCAACAGTTTTATCAAGTGGTGGAGACTCAATTTCATGCTAGAATTCAGGTTCTTTGTTCTGACAATGGCAGTGAATTTCTCAACCATGATCTTAACCTGTTCTTACAAGATCATGGCATCATACATCAACGCTCATGCCCTTACACTCCCTAATAGAATGGGGTGGCTTAAAGAAAGAACAGACACTTATTGGAAGTAGTTCATGCCTCTCTCTTTGGTGCCAATATGCCACGATCCTTTTGGGGCGAAGCCGTCATCTTTACAGCATACCTTATCAATTGGATTCCCTCTAGTATCGTAAATTTCCAAACACCACTTCAAACACTTCACCACCATATCCAAACACGTCCCATCCCAAACCTGGAACCCCGGATTTTTGGCTGTGTTGTATTTTTCCACTTACATGACCACCAACAAAGCAAATTGAATCCCCGAGCCGAAAAGTGTGTTTTCATTGGCTATGCACCTCATCAGAAAGGATATCGGTGTTATCATCCTCATAGTCATAAGGTCTTTACCTTCATAGATGTTGTGTTTCGGGAACATGACTTATATTTTTCAACAGCCTAGGAGGAGAATCAAGAATCCACCACTGCTCCAATTCTCAATTTTTTTCCCCATGACATCACTCTGCATCAAAATGACCGATCGCCAGTGGAAAGCAACCAGTCGCCCCCCTTAGTTCTTCAAATCCGGAGAACCTACTTCAAAACGACCGGTCGTCTGCAGACAACAACTGGTCGCTAGAGGAAACTGATCCATTGTCTCTAGGCTATCAAAATCAGGAGGAAGAAATTGAATCGTTTGATCAGATTTGCCTGCTTCAACTCCAGTACTACACCAATCACCTGCTGAGAAAGTCTTTCAAGTAACATCTTTCCCTGAAACTAATAACACTAATGAAATATCTCATGATGATTTGATTTCAGAAGGCACAGAGCCTACATATCAGCTTCCATAAAGGAAGAACCATGGCAAACCTCGAGTACAATATGAATCAGATCTTAAAGCCAAAGGGAAATACCCCATCAATAAGTATATATCTCTTAGCAGATTATCAGAGTCACGTGTGCACTATGTGAAGCAGTTGGCTGATGTATCTGTCCCCAACAGTGTAACTGAAGCACTAGAAGACCCAAAATGGAAAGAAGCCATGAATGAAGAAATGCGAGCTCTCCAAAGAATGTTACATGAAAACTCGTGTCCTTACCTCATGGAAAGAAGACAATAGGATGCAGGTAGATTTATACTGTGAAACTCAAAGCAGATGGATCCATTGAAAGATGTAAAGCTAGATTGGTGGCGAAGAGGTACATACAGAGATATGAGATAGACTACTAGGAGACCTTTGCCCTAATAGCCAAGATTAACACTATTAAAGTTTTATTGTCTCTAGCAGCAAATCTCAATTGGCTACTAAATCAGTTTGATGTCAAAAATGCATTCTTACATGGAGACTTGGAAGAAGAAGTATATATGGACTTACCCCCAGGATATAATTCAGCTCATGACAAGAAGAATCAAGTTTGCAAGCTCAGAAAGTCATTATATGGGTTAAAACAATCTCCCAATGCATGGTTTGGCAGATTTACTAAATGTATGAAGAATTTTGGATATACATAGAGTAATTCAGATCACACCTTATTCTTGAAACGTGATGAAGGAAAACTTACTGCATTGATTATTTATGTAGATGATATAGTCGTAACTGGAAACGACACAGGAGAGCAACTAAAGTTGCAAAAGTATTTGTCTCAGGAATTTGAGATGAAGGATTTAGGTGATCTGAAGTACTTTCTCTAAATCGAAGTAGCAAGGTCAAAAACTGGTATATTTTTGTCTCGAAGGAAGTATGTAATGGATCTACTCAGTGAAACAGGAATGCTTGGATGTAAGCTTGTTGACACACTCATTGAGATGAATCACAAGTTGTGTGAAGACATGGACTAAGAACTAACCAATAACGAACAGTACCAACGCCTTGTTGGAATATTGATATACCTGGCGCACACAAGACCAGATATTGTATATGTTGTGAGTGTTGTTAGTCAATTTATGCATTCACCTAGTGTTTCTCATGGGAATGATGTTGATTGGATCTTAAGATACTTAAAGTCAGCTCTTGGGAAAGGATTAATGTTCTCAAAAAATGGAGATCTTGAAGTTGTTGGATATACATATGTTGATTAGGCTAGCTCCATTACTGATAGACGCTCCACTTCAGGTTACTTTACTTTCGTGGGAGGTAACCTAGTCACTTGGCAAAGTAAAAAATAAAATGTGGTTTCTTGGTCTAGTGTAGAAGCAGAGTATCGAGGAATAGCTCACGGAGTTTGTGAATTACTGTGAATCAAAAGACTATTGACAGAATTGGGCTTCAAGCCAGAAAAGCCAATGGAGTTACATTATGACAATAATTCAGATCGATATTGCCCATAATCCAGTTCAACATGATCAAACCAAACATGTTGAGGTGGATAGACATTTTATCAAAGAAAAAATTGAGAAGAAGATCATCCGCCTACCATTCGTAAAATTAGAAGATCAACTTGCAGATTTCTTAACAAAAGCTGTTTGTGGCAGAGTATTTCATGACTCACTTACCAAGTTGGGCATTGGTGACATATGTGCACCAACTTCATGAGAAGTGTTGACGTGAGTCTCCTAATTAATCAAGGAGATTTATTTCCTTGATTAATTAAGGGATTAATTTCCTATTCTATATAGTTGACAAATTATTGTATAATTAGGAGATACTATCCTAATTGATTACTATATTTTTTTTCCTTGTAAAGCACTCACGTAAACTCCTATATATACCTCCTTATGAAGAAGAATAAAATCTAACCCAAAGTATTCAAACCATATTTATATTTTAGCATAATGAACATTGGCTATTTAAGGACAAATGAAGCAACAACCATGAAGAGTCATAAACTCTCTAGTGGCTGGGTTAAAGGTAAAAACAGGGATCTTACCAAGGAGTGGGAGACAAGGTGATATCAGAACAAGCCATTGACACTCTTGAAGGTTTGCCCTTAACATCTTCAACTGTAGACTGCAACCTGCAAATGCTGCTCTTCAGTTCTAGTCTTGCTGCAGTGAATTCTATACTTTCTCGTTCTTCACGGGTAAAAGATGAGACGAGTCCAAAAATGCCTCAAGAGTCTTAAAAGTAGAAATTCTGTGAGGCAGAGTACGAAGTCATCCAATAAAGATTCAATTGGTGAAATCTGGAATTTGGTTATATATTTTAAAACATTGCCCTCATCTGTTATTTCATTTCCAGGGTGTTCATGCAGGAATGGAGTGAATAGAGTTGAAGAGCAGAATGTAGTAAAGTAGCAGTTATAAGGAAAACTCATATTCATTTACTTTATTGAAGCATTGTGCCTCATACATGATACATGTGTGTACAAGTAAGATACAATATATATATATATATATATATATATGCATAGATTATTCATTCTTCAGCGGTTGCAAGTACATCAAACTCTACAAACACATAAAAGAACAAAAGAAAAAATATGGCCCAACTAGAACAAGCTTTTATTGGTTCTGGTTGTATTGGCAAGTCCATGAACTCCTTTGCTTGTGGTTCGAGTCTCAAGTCCTTTTTGGTAGGCAACTGAACCAGTGTACGGTATTCTCCGGAGCCCACAATGGGAAGATATTCCCATATGCTGCATAGTGCAACATGGCATTCCTCATAAAAACTCCCATCATTCTTGCAATAGAAAAAGAGTTAACAAATAGTTAGTGTATGTGTGTGTATATATATATATAAGAATAAGTAATATGTATTGTCATTCTTCTTTTCCATTTTTGGTTTTACTACAGTAATATGTATATATATATATATATATATATATAAAGAAACGCTGAATTTTAGGAATGTTTTTTCATATAATTCCATTTATGGTAGGCATATACTATAAATTCCTAAAATTTTATGGACATACTAAGTGCCCATTTGGCATTGCTTATTTTGATGTGATAAGTGATTTTAAAAAAAATTTGGGAAGCTCAGTCCATTTGGTAAACTATGAGAAAATCACTTATTGTTAAAAATTGTTGTGAGAGAAAGCTATAAGGGAAAGCAGCTAATGAGTTACATCCATTTTCTGATTATGCAGGAATCAGTTTCGAAGATGTGTTGGGTTTAATGATTTTGCGGCAATTATTTTCTGATTATGCGGAAATCAGTACCAACAACACTTTTAACAAAAAGTTGTACCAAAGGCCAAACTGCTTTCATAGTACAACAATGCCAAACTGGCTTTAATTGCTTACTTGATAACAGTGGACTGCAATTGAAAAAGGAGAGTGTGTGAACTGCATTCATTACGTCTTGATGAAAATCGACCTATATCTAAGAAGCCCTACTAAAAAGGAGAGTGTGTGAACTGCATTCATTACATCTTGAGGAAGTTGGGCAGAGTTGAGTCTGTTTAACATAACCTTACTAATAATAGAGGTAGATGTTGTGAATTTTAGACAATCTGAAAAATGGAGATTATAAGGATTAGTCTAAACACAAATTATACTCGCAAGTGCACAAGGTCAATCTTAATATAGTATGGCAAATACGAGGTCATTCCCACGAGGATTGAGTTCAACTACCAATTAGTCTAACCTAATTTACTTCACAAAATAGTTTAACTACTCTAATTATATAAACAAGAAATCAAACACGTAGCATACTCACGTAAACACAAAAGGGGTTTTTGAAAGAATGATTTAATTACCAACGAAATTAAAAGACGAAACAAGTAGGAGGTCACGAAACACAAGGATGAGAAATTCAAATTGATAAAAGCACTAGGACAATGAATTCACCACTAGTAATCCGATCTAGCCTCTTATTCACCTACCTATATATTAACTAACCATTTGATGTCGCCACTTCGTTTTCCTTTTTCATGAATTACCTATGGTATTTAGGCTAACTTGTATATTCCTACATGCAATTCGCCTATGGTATTTAGGTCAAATATCAACACATAGAAACTCATTAAGATCAATGAAAACCTCGAACAAGCATGTAAACCCTAGGAGTATGGTATTTACCCTAGACGAATTACAAATCCTAATCACAAGAAGCAAGCCTCAAATTAAGTATGGTATTTACTCTAATTTGCATCCGATTAACTCAATTAAAAGTCTAGATGGTGATCAAGCATCAAGATAATCAACCAAGTTATTAAGCACAGTGATTAAGAATCCAACATCAAACGGCAATCAATAGATAGGTAAAATAAGAAAACTAGATTATCATACTAGGGCTACATCATGCCCTAGCCAAAGAAGATTAGTTACACATAATCATAGAATTCGACATAAACAAAAACATAAGGGATAAACAATAAAATTTAGCCAATTGCGGTACTCTTCCGGTGTCTCCAATTTCTCCTAGTCTTTGTGTGTCTCCAAGGGAGTTGTGTCTCATGCTTAAATAAACCAATCCACATCTATTCCTACCCTAGCTGGGCTTTTACAGCAGCCCAAGAATAAAGAAAAACCTAATTAAAACATAAATCCAA